ATCAAGCTTTAGATAAACTTGAAGATTTAAAGTGACTGTTTGAAGTGTTGGTGTCGTTAAAATGGTCTTTTGTGATGTGATAAACCAGGTTACACCAGTCAGAATCTGGAATTGCTTGATGACTGGGCCACCAGGATAGCTGCAGAGCACAGACAGACACAGCAGCAGCGATACCAGGGTGCTCAGCCAACACGGAGAAGTGCAACTTCCAAAGGACACTGGAAGAGGAACAGGTGAGGAATGGACACAGGCACGTGTGGCTCATGAGGTTTGCTCGAAGATGTAAAGGACCGTTACACTTCTACCATTGACGGTGTGGGGCCTTGTACCCGGTTTTTGGTGTAAAGTTGAGATGGATAACATTCCAACATCGCCGTCCAACTTCACATAAAGCTCGCACATTTATTGCCTCATTTAGGCTGGGAAGCTAATATTTGGTCAAGTCTCTTCCGTCACATTTGGTGACAGAACGGAAAAGCCTAATCTGTTCTTTTAGAAAAAAATCTTTCCATCAGAAATCATAAAGACACACAACATGTTCGGTATCATCATGGTTTTAGGCAAGGCTGCATAATAAGTGGTAATAGACAAAATGTGACCTGCTCTGAAAAAAGGGTACTAAGTCGCGCAATGCCAAAACATGTCATAGCCTGTTCTATTTGGAGAGGGCAAAATTTCTTCAAAAACATGATTTTTGTGTTTTTTGCTTTAATAGCTTCTATAACATTTATGTTTTCAGAATTTGTGTCTACAAACATGGATACTGATGAATAAAGATGAAAAATGGATCATTCAGTAAGAAATCCTACATAGCATTGTGTTTCCAAGCGCTACACTTTATGAGCTCTTTCTCGAAAGGTGCTTTTATTGAATACGAAAATGTGGATATACAAATGTCTATATACATGTATCTCCGAAACACAGCGCACTACTGGGGTCATTATCAAATTGTAGCTTTTGATGTACAGAATCCAGCCATATCAAAAACTCATAACCTGAATCTGGCGACTTATTACCCATTTGAGTGACTCGAGGCATCCAATTGGGGCTAAAGGTCCTGCTGAAATTGATTTTGTTATGCAAATTCTAACTATTGAAAGCACTGGACATCCATACTCACATATCTGGCCTTTATTTCACGTAACTCACTTGAACTTAAGCCCGTTTGTTTCTACGTGCAATGATTTTCTGAACTGTTTACATGTACAACAATATCACATTCCTTCGCATCATTCAACTAGCCTGCCATGTTCTGCATGGTTATCCAGCCAGGCCCATGCAATGTGTCTGAAAAGTCATGTTACTGTCTAATCAAATACTGTCACGCTTACTGGAGTAAGCATTGGCATATTAATCGAATATGCTGGCAGTAGCCTGGTTGCCCCAACAAGGGATGACATTCCTATTTACCCCCATTCCGCCATTCTCTGTGAAAGCTGATTTGTTGACAGTGAATCCCTCTTTTTTGCCATTGTGTACTTTTCCAGGAAATTGAACGAAATGTATGGATGTGTGGACCAGGATACCAGTGAGGCAGAGCACCAGTGAGACATCATCGAATGCCGNTGAGGCATCCAGTAGGGGCAAAAGGTCCTACTGAAATTAAATTTGTTCAATTTCAAATTTGTTCAAATTCTAACTGTTGAAAGCACTGGACATCCATACTCACATATCTGGCCTTTATTTCACGTAACTCACTTGAACTTGAGCCCGTTTGTTTCTATGTGCAATGATTTTCTGAACTGTTTACATGTGCAACAATATCAACGTTCCTTCGCACCCTTCAACTAGCCTGCCATGTTCTGCATGGTTATCCAGCCAGGCCCATGCAATGTGTCTGAAAAGTCATGTTACTGTCTAATCAAATACTGTCACGCTTACCGGAGTAAGCATTGGCGTATTAATCGAATATGCTGGCAGTAGCCTGGTTGCCCCAACAAGGGATGACATTCCTATTTACCCCCATTCCGCCATTCTCTGGGAAAGCTGATTTGTTGACAGTGAATCCTTCTCTTTTGCCATTGTGTACTTTTCCAGGAAATTGAACGAAATGTTTGGATGTGTGGTCCAGGATACCAGTGAGGCAGAGCACCAGTGAGACATCATCGAATGCCGCTGGATAAAAAGGTATCTAATTGTGCATTTTGTGATAGACTGCTACATACCCCGGAGAGCATCAGCCACCAGCTAAGCCATTCATTGGGCCTTTTTCTATCATTCTTTCACTCCCAAAATATACGTTGGAATCCCTATTATGAACTAATGCAGACAAGTTGAATAAGGTGCCTCAGGAATTATGTCTATATAAAATTGAAATCACCCGTCCTGTCACTAGCGTTAGTTTTTGGGAGGCCACAGTAATAGGTGAGGGGCGTACATCATTTGGATGCTTCCATTGATGATTTTTGTCGATGGGGAGCCTGGCCTTTCCTCCCCCAGTGATGAGCCTCCCCCCTCCCCGCCAGGAAGGAATGTATCCCTCAAGAAATGAATAAACACTTACGGAGTGCATTTTAATAATTTCATGCCAAAATCTGAGATTTCCTTTTCCTTTTGGACGACGTTGTACATTTTAAAAGTCTAAATCATAACCTCCCTTTTTTTCAACTTGCAAATAAACTGCAA